CAGCCTCTTGCCTCCTCCCACCTCAGGCCCCATGGAAAGAACAGTGTGTGAGCCACAGGAGACTGTGGCAGGGGAATGAGATTCTCTCACCTCCAAAGACCACAAAGGTTATGCTGTACTCATTTAGGTTATAATATATGCAGGGTGGAGGTATCTCAGATTATAAAAATAGCAGATTTAGCCCTTCCCACCCACCTTTGCTGTTTCTTGGCTTCTCACCAGTCAGTGACTACCGTGTTTCCCCAAAAATAAGACCTACCCAAAAAATAAGCCCTAGCAGGATTTCTATGCATTTGTTAAATATAAGCCCTATCCCAATAATAAGACCTAGTGATGGGCATGGCTATGCAGATACGCAGCATAATCACACCATGCATTTTGGCACAGAGTGGTAAGGAAGACTGGAATACCTTTTATCTGCCACAGCTCCTTTCTCCCAGCCATTCGCACTTGTGCAGGTGCAGCATGTGATAACCACAGTCTCAGGCATCCTACTGCACACCTGTGATCAGCTAGGGGAAAGGAGTTCCCATATCACTAGCACCAACCCCACCAACAAGGTTGGCTCCCCCTGTCAGGTTCCAGAAGAAAATGACTTAACTGTATTTGAATAAATGTAGGTTGTTGTATTATACTTAATAAAAATAAGACATCCCCTAAAAATATGCCCTAGTGTGTCTTCTTGAGAAAAAATAAATATAAGACAGGGTCTTATTTTCAGGGAAACACAGTATTTACTTGGAGAATGGGTATTTCTAGTAAGAGAAGGACATTTTCCCTCAGAAAATTCCCACAAAGTACTTCCTCCTCTCAGATCACTCATGAGGACAGCCAAGACAACACTGTCATAGGATCCAAACATATAGATGTCCAACTTGGAAATAAAGCTCCTAAGCATCCCTCAAAGATGTACTCCCCCAAGCTAAAACAAGACCCAACTTTTTCTGGGCTAAAGTGGTAACTTAGCATATGTAGTTATGGGGGAAATGTAGAGAAAACAGAAAGCTAACAACAAGATGGCAGTCTTCAATAAGCCATGTGTTTTAACTGTGTGCATTTCTGGAGAATTTTCCAATAAGGACAAAGCCTAAAGGGTGTGGTGAAAATCTCTGGGAATAAGTTTATTGGATTGCCATCTGCAAAATGGAGGTAAAGAAAGGTGCAGTAAGACCCAATGATCTTGGGTAATTTCCACACAAAAGTAGAACACAGGCATGATTTGAGACATGACTGAGTCTGGGAAAAGGTAGAACCACTCTCCTCTTATGGTTTAGATAAATTATGATCCCCAAAACTCTTTCCTCTCTATTGCTTCTACTTCTGCTTAAATTCAGCATCTTCTCCCAATTCAGATTCAAGAAAGCAAACACCACACATATACTCATCCCATTCCTGAAGAGTACTAAAGATAGAGAACTTCTCAACTCTACCTGAAAGTTGCATATTCAAAAGATCTACCAAGAAAAGTACCTATTAACATATCAGGGTAATTATGCCAGAACACCATTAACTCAGTTCAGTTTTAAAAAAGGAGACTAGTGAAGACTAAACTGTGACCTTTTTGTCTCCTACCCAAATTCTTTTCTAAGAACTCAGGCAAGTCATAATGCAAATAATAAAATCTCACTAAACAGGCTTTTTATTAACCTGGTATAATGTGACTTACTTTCCAACCTGATTCTGGAATAGCATCACATGACAGATAGAAGATCGACCCCCCCTCCATCTTATTTTAATTATGTCAAACAGACCTTTCTACCAGCTCCAAGTCTTTAAATAAAGCATAACTCTTTCAATCCATTACTAATCAAGGAATCCCTAAAACTAATGTATAACCTGTAAACCTTTCTTCATGATGTTCTGCCTTTTACAGCACAACCAATATATACCTTCCATATACTGATTTATGGTTTTACCTGTGTTTCTGTCCCAATGAATGTATGAAACCAAACTGTAACCTGGCAGCCTCCAGCACATTTTCGCAAAATCTTTTGAAACCATGTTCCCCAGGCCACAGTCACACATATTTGGTTTAAAATAATCCTCTTTTTCTTGTTGCTTGGGGGTTTTTTGTTTGCTTGTTTGTTTAATTTTTAGAATGAACCTCTTTAAATTATTAGACAGAGTTTGAATTGTTTTCCATTAACACTAGTCTCTAAAGGCAATGGAAACAATTTCCTGGGTTGATCTTGCCTACCAAGCCTATCCCCAAACCTTCTCATTAGGTATCTACTGTTGGAAGACACCAACCTATTAGAGCCTTTTGTTTCATTCTCTGAGATTCTATTCTCCCCCTCATTCACTCTCTGCTATACAAATCCCAAACGTCCTGGGCTCCTTTTACATCCTGAATCCAAATAGTTAGGAAGGTCTGGGACTTCCTGATTTCCCAATGCCTCATTCATTACTAAGAGTCTCTGATGCTAGGCTGGGCTGTGGACCCTTTTGTAAAGGTTCCCTTCAATCAACAATACCCCCTCAAGGCCATCTCTTCCATAATGGCTTCAGTGACAATCTCTCTGAGAACTTCCCTATTCAATGTCCCACTGAAAAGGGCAGAGAGGGACTTCTGTCTTGAAGACATGCCAGCATTTGAGCTCTAAGGGTGCAAATCTCAAAGTGTACATATGAAACTTCTTTACTGGGAACATTGCAAGAAGGCAGTGTCCTTGATTCTCCAAAGACCAATAAAGTATACAGCTGGCAAAATCTGTTGACTACTGAACTGAAAATGTATTTATCAAGAAAGTAAGGCTAAATTTTTCCAGGAAAATAACTTTCTTAAAAGAAAATGCTTTTGAAAAATAAATCAAATGAAATAAATTCTTCTGGGAGACTCTCTGGAGCCCAGACCCAGGACAAACTAAAAGTAATCAATGAATTACCTTCAATAATCTCTGGGTCTGGGAATTTAAACAACACCACCAGGGAAAACAGCCTTGAGAGGGGAGTTCCCCTGGGATTCTGTTGGGTCCGAGAAAGCCTCCCAAATTAACCCCAACCAACAAACTCGAGACTCGCTCCGATGTAAAGGGCATAAGATGAGATTTATTACAGACCCGGGAAGCCCGGGGGCCCCGGGCCTGGACTCTCCTGGCATGCAAGCCGAGGACGAGCCCCGAGCTCGGGGTGAAGGCAGTTTTTATGGGGTACAGAAAGCAAGAGGGGTAGGGTCAGATACGAGTACACTTTTCATTGGTGGTTGGTGATTTCATTAGTAAAGGTGAATTTGGATTGGTACAGGTAAGGGGTGGAGGGTCCCTTAACCGGGGGCTAGAGCTGGTGCAACATGGTTACCTGTATTTCAAGGTAATAGAAACTTATCTGTTGCCCAGGGTGGTACTATTTGGTTGAGTAACTATGAAAGGAATGAGAAAGGTTGCAGGGTGGGCCCTGCGGGTATGGTTTAAGCAACTATGAATGGAATGGGGAGAGTTACAAGGTGGGCCCTGCAGTTTAACAGAACAGACAAGAAAATGGCGCTGGTCTGGCCCTTACAATTCCATAGCCATGCTCTTATTTCCTGGATTTCTAAAATAAGACTCAAGTAATAATCCTGCACAGTGGAAAGAAAGTCTTTCAGTGTACACATATGTCCTTATGAAGGGTGAGTGGCAGCCACAACCAGAAACTAGCCAAATCACAGCTGAGTACAATCCCACACTGAAGCTGACCTAGTCACTGGGAGGGAAAAAAGCAGATGAAACAATTTAATCTCATCTAGAGGGAGGCCTGGAGGCAAGACATTCTTGAGCTGTTTTCTCCTCCTAAATCAATACACCACATTCTGTGGTTCAAAGAAAGTTAAGTGGTTTCATTTCTGATTTATGGGCATGGTTAATTCCACTTATGAAGGTAGGTGGTACTTATATTGTCCTTGCCACCTCTTTGGAAACAGAACCTGCTAACAGACTTACACATATCCACCTTCTTAAATAAACAATTGCTCAATGAGGGTTGCTCTGGAAAGATTATTGTCCCAAGCTCCCAAGCACTGTTTATCTGTCCAGTAGAGAGACTCTGTGACTAATACAGAAATTGTTCTTAGATGCATAAAAAAATGCAAAATAACTTTTTGGAAGATCTCCTATTCATGAAAGCATTTTGGAGCCTTCTTATTTCAGCTAATCCATCGTTGATTAGCCAGGTTGTTCAGCATCCATCGTCAGATGCTGGTGGGTGTGAGAAATCACATTTGCTATCCACCGAAGAGTCGCTGGGATGAGGTCAGCACTTCATTAGATAAGGTGGATTCATCTAGGAGTGAATTAGCTGGGTACCCAGTCTTGTCCTTCATCTCTCAAACATCTCTATATTACAAAACATTCCTCATTTTGTTTTCTCTTGCTGGGCAAAGGTCTGAAACTGTCAAAAGCCACTTTCCAAAGCTAGTTGGTAAGAGGTCAGTCACAAACACTTATTCTCAGGATTCCATAAAAAGGCATGGGGGGGGGGTGTCTGTGTGTGTATATGTGCATGAGTTTGGCTTTGGTTTTATTTAATAGTTCTTATCTAAAAAGAGCTTCCTCTACACCTCAGCTTTTCTGATCTAGGTGGTATTCAGATGATTGGGGGATGCTTCAGCCAGGGCTCCAAGACTCAGCTTCCTACATTCTCAAATCCTGACCTACTGAGAGTAGTGTAGCAGCAGGGAGGATGGTGAGAAAAGTTCCTGGATTAGATGCTGGAAAACGAGATTCTGCGTCCTGGGTCTGTTTTAGAAGAGGAAGCAACCACCACTAGCAAACTGCTCTCTGTTCCAGCAAGTCATTTCATCTCCCTGACAGTTTGCAATTTATTTTCTCTCCCTTTAACAACAGAGAGATGTTCCTATTTACCTTTTGTGTCTCACAAGATCAGTTGGGGGTGTATTTCTATTGAGGCAGACAAGTCCCCACCCCTTTACAGAGCTTCTGCTCCAAAAGGCACAGAATGGTTCCAACACTAAAGAGGACAGCCTTAATCAAATATTCCAAGCAGAATGTCCTCACTGTACTCACGGAACTGCTCCAAATGGTCAGTGCTGTTGGACTCAGGCATGGCTGTGATGGTTACCAGTGGACACGGATTCCCTCCCAATGTCTGGCAGAGAACGTCCTGCCGGAAGTAGACCTGCTTGGGGTTAATGCTTTTTTCCAGGATATTCAGGTGAGTCTGCAGCAAAAATAAAGCAGGCATGTATATTATTAATATTTTTGATAGTAAATAATTGAAACAGCAGCAACAAATTACATTTGTATCACTCCTTCTAGCACAGAAGTATACTCGTTCACTTAATCTGCCCTGTATATATTGGGCAGCAAGTGATTAAAAGGGGGCCACCCTGCTATTTAGAAGTTTAGTGAAACTGAACAGGAAGCACCATTCCTGCATGTTTCAGTGTTATAGGAGATTTGTTTTCAAGTTGCACTGGAAGCAAGAGGACAGGGACATGAAGCACTCTTCCTGTCGCTGTGACACATGCAGAATGTGGTCACCACAAAGACAGAAGCACCCCAAGAGCACTGCGGAGCGTGAGAGAGAAAATCTCAGCAGTACGTGTGTCACAGGGCCAAGCAGTGAAAGAGAGTTGTGAGTGTCCTGGAAAAGAGAAATCAACTGCTCCAGGATTGCTAAGCTAAAAGAACAAATAACTAGTAGGAATTGATTTTTTCCTACCATTACTCCCCATTTGGATACTCATTTAAAATACAAAATAATACAAAAATGAAATAACCATTGAAACTAGGACACCTGGTTAACAATTGTTAAGGCTTCGCAAATAGTTTTCACTAACAAAAACAGTGAGATTATCATAAAGAGGCTAAGAGAGTCCCCTGACTCCACCCACACTGCCCACCCAGACTTCAGTAACCAGAGAGGGGACAGCCGTCCCTCGGCAGCACAATAACTTCTACCCAGAAATTATCTTCCCAGCTGAAGATCTAAAATTTTCACCACAATCAAGTGAGGATTAACAGGGCCAATAAGAAACTACCCACTTTGTTTCCTAACAAAAAAATAAGCCTGCTAGATAAATGAAACAGGCAAAACCACAAAAACATTATGAGAATGTTTATAAAGTATTCATAAATCTGTGAAACGCATGCATAAGGGGAGTCGTGCCCATGAAAGGTAGAGGAAATATTTACACCTGGAAAGGATTTGCTGCAGATGTGGTAAGCAAGAGAGTGGCCCCCAAAGATGTCTACATTTTCACCTTCAGAATCTTCAATAAGGTGCTTAACATGACAAATGGGACTTTGCAGACATGTTTAAGATCTACTAGAGAATAGGAGAGTGTCCTGAATTATCTAGTCAGGACAAATCCACTCCCAAGTGATTAAAAGCAGAGAACCTTCTTGGCAGCAGAGAACCATTGCCAGTAGTATAACAATGTCAGCCTGACATTGGTGGCTTTGAGGATGGAGGGAGGTACCCCTAGCCAAGGAATGCAGGCAGCCTCTAGCAGCTAGGAAAAGTAAACCTACATCCAGCCAACCTTTTTTGCTCATGAACAAATGTAGCACACACACTCAGATATGCAAAAATCTCAGAAAGCAGATCCCCTTATCTTTACTGAAAACAACTTGAAGACAGACTTCCACTGCCCTAACATGAAACTAAATAACAATATGAAAGGACCACCATAAAGTCCAGTTACACAAGGTTTAAGTCTAAATAACCATTAAAAATAATGGTTACTGCATAATGAAACCATAAAAATAATTCTTTAGAGAAAATGCACATTATCAAACATTGATATTATTACCAGTCTCAAAAATGAAATTTAAAAGAGAGATGTGAAGGCGGTATCAAGTAAAAATATAAGCATTTTCAACTTACATAGATGTAGTAATATTACCTAATTCTTGAAAACGAAAAAGCAGTACTTAGTACTGTGCCTTATGTGGCTCTCTGGAATATCATGAGAACAACCTGTTTCTAAAACAGAGTTGAGCTGGTTGCTTATATTGGTGTGGCAAATAGGCTAATGGCTCTCCAAGAGGTCTACAGCCTAATTCCTGGGACCTGTGAAGATCTCAATTCACCTGGTAAAGAGACTCTGCAGATGAGATCAGGGATCCCGTGATGGGGGAGATTCTCTCAGATCATCAGATTGGACCCAGTATAATCACAAGGGTTCTTATTAGGGAAAGAATGAGAGAAGAAGGCAGAGCCAGAGAAGACGTGATATGATAGAAACAGAGATTGGAGTGATGCAATTTCTGACACTGCAGGTGGATGGGGCAATAAGACCCAGGGAATGCAGGTGACCCAGGTTCACATTCCAGCTGTGGATTCTGGGAAAGATATATACATTTTTTACTACACTTCTTTCTGACTCTGTTTTCTTATCTTTAAAATGTGTTGCCTGCACTCAGGAGTTCTAGACCAGCCTGAGCAAGAGGGAGGCCCCATCTCTAAAAATAGCCAGCCATTATGGTGAGCACCTGTAGTCCCAGCTACTCGGGAGGCTGAGGCAAGAGGATCTCTTGTGCCCAAGACTTTAAGGTTGCTGTGAGCCATGACGCTACAGCAGTCTACCAGGAGTGACAAAATAAGACTGTGTCTCAATTTAAAAAAAAAAAAAGAGGGGGTGGCACCTGTGGCTTAAAGGAGTAGGGCACCAGCCTCATATGCTGAAGGTGGCAGGTTCAAACCCACCCCTGGCCAAAAAAAAAAAAGTGTATAACCATACTATTACCTACGTCATGCAAAGGCTGTTGTAACTTAGTTACATAATGTATGGGTAAAGTATTTGTCATATAGGAAACACAGTTAGCTACTATCATTGATGGAGAAATATAAGATCATACAAACATGTTATTTCTAAGAATTAGAAGTGTTAGCAGAATTATAAACATGGAGGGGTAAAAAAACCAAAGGAAACATAATCTGTGTTGCATAAGAAAAAGAAAGAAAAAAACAGAAATGAAGCATGGAAAATAACATAAAATCAAAATGACAAAAGTAACAATAAAACCACTGTAAGCAAGAATAGGTAATCAGCCCCTATTAAACAACAAAAACTTTCAGATTACTTTTTAGAAATCCTACATTGTCTGTATGAGGTATTTTAAAAAGAGAGAAAAAGAAAAAAAAGACATGTATGAGAAACACTCCTAAATTATCTCTTTATTTTCTTTGCCTTTATGCAAACATTTTAAAGGAGAAATACTGAAACTAAAAGGATAAGCAAACATAAATTAAAGTAGGTATGGCAATAGTAATATACGGCAGAGTCCTATTCAAGATCAAGTGCATTAAATGGGATTTTAAAATCTTATTTTGATAAAGGGCGCAATTCACAATGAACATATAAAACTCATAAATCTTAAGAATCAAATAACATGGGGATGAAATATATAATGCAAAAACGGCAAGAGGAGAAAAAAACGTACTGGGATCGGGAGACGGTGAGACAGCACCTCAGTCTTGGATAAATCAAGTACACAAAAATAATGATTCAGAGCATTTGAACAATATTGTTTTTTGTAGATATATGTTACATGTTATCTTTACAGAGAGCAAACTTTCATTTTTTTTCTCAAAACATCTATGAAACTGTAACAATAGTTCATAGAGAGCTATCAAAGCAATAACAATAGAGAGCTTTCAAAAACTCACTAAAACTTTCCAAAAGAAAGCAGAAGCCACCTTTCTCTGGCAATAATGAAATGAAAGTAGACTTAACTGACAATGGTCTTCAAAATGGCAAAAGTAGCACAATGATTAGGGAATAGAACACACCCTCTCAAAAGAAGTTAACCAAAAAAAAAATTCACAGGTTGAAAAAAAAATCAATATAAAATAATTAAAGCCCCAATGTAAGAAGTGGGTATCTAGGTATCCCAGGAGAGGTGGCACTGAACACTAAGAGAAATGCCCCATTGGACGGCGGTCGTGTTTCTCCGTCACCCTGGAAAAGGGTAAGAGGCTACAGGTAGCACTAGATTCAGATTATGCTTTCTGTGATCATAAATTATTTTCAGCACTTTTATAAACCTTCGGGTAGAAGCTGCTCTCAGCCTTCCTTATTGTTGGAATCTAGACTGAGTGAACCTGCCTCATATCAAGATTCCAAGACTCCAAAACTTGGAAAGAAAACCTCCCTGCATCATTTCCGAAAGTGTGTCCCGTAGGAGGTTAACAAGTACCGAGGTGCGAGCAGAGAAACAGAGAAGGTGGGAAATTCCTAGCCAAAGCACTTGGAAAATGGGGAGGGAAATAAAATGAAAATATTTTAATGGATGCAGGACTTCTCAGATTCTTTAATATTTCAATATGCGCTGGGAACTCTTGGAAGAAAAACTAGCACAAGTGCTTCATAAATTTATATGATCATTAAACTCTTTTTCCCTGAAGAGCTGAAGAAACTGAAGTGTTAGAGAATATGTTTTGGGAAACAGTGTCTTGCTGAATTGTTTCTATGCGCTCTCTCTCTCTCTCTCTTTTTATTTTTCATTAAAGCTATTTTTTTTCACATTTTATTATGTATACAAGGCACCCTACTAAGAAAGGCAAGTGGTGATCCCGGAGAACATTCTCATGAATGAATCCCTCCCGAGAAGTACCCAGAAATAAACTCATATATCTATATTAAATTGTTTACAAAGACACCAAAAATATACAATGGGGAAAAGACAGTTTCTTCAATAAAGAGTATTGGGAACTGAATATCTATATACAGAAGAATGAGAATGGACTATTATTTCATCCATTATACAAGAACCAACTCAAAAGGAATTAAAATCTTTCTTTTTTTTATTGTTAGGGATTCATTGAGGATACAAAGAACCAGGTTACATTGATTGCATTTGTTAAGTAAAGAACAGGAGACCTGAAACTGTAAAGCTACAAGAAGAAAACATAGGCCAAAAGCTCCAGAACGTTGGTTTGGGCGAGTGATTTATTGGATATAACCCCAAAAAAGAAAGCAAAAATAAACAATGATATATCATCAAACTAACAATCTTCTGCACGACAACAGTAGCAATTAATTGAGCAAAGAGACAAATCACAGATTGGGAGAAAACATTTGCAAATTAAGTATCAGATAAGGAGCTGGTATCCAAAATATACAAAGAATACAAACTAATAATAAGAAAGAAAATACCCCTATTAAAAAATAGGCAAAGGACCTGAATAGACATTTGTCCAAAGAAGATATG